TGTTATGAGGACGGGTTGTTATGAGGACGTGTTGTTATGAGATATTGTTATGAGGACGGGTTGTTATGAGGACGGGTTGTTATGAGGACGTGTTGTTATGAGGGCGGATTGTTATGAGGCCGTGTTGTTATGAGGACGGGTTGTTATGAGGACTGGTTGTTATGAGGACGGGTTGTTATGAGGACGTGTTGTTATGAGGGCGGATTGTTATGAGGCCGTGTTGTTATGAGGACTGGTTGTTATGAGGACTGGTTGTTATGAGGACGGGTTGTTATGAGGACGGGTTGTTATGAGGACGTGTTGTTATGAGGACGGGTTGTTATGAGGACTGGTTGTTATGAGGACGGGTTGTTATGAGGACGGGTTGTTATGAGGACGTGTTGTTATGAGGACGGGTTGTTATGAGGACTGGTTGTTATGAGGACGGGTTGTTATGAGGACGGGTTGTTATGAGGACGTGTTGTTATGAGGACGTGTTGTTATGAGGACGGGTTGTTATGAGGACGGGTTGTTATGAGGACGTGTTGTTATGAGGACGGGTTGTTATGAGGACTGGTTGTTATGAGGACGGGTTGTTATGAGGACGGGTTGTTATGAGGACGTGTTGTTATGAGGACGTGTTGTTATGAGGACGGGTTGTTATGAGGACGTGTTGTTATGAGATGTTGTTATGAGGACGGGTTGTTATGAGGACTGGTTGTTATGAGGACGGGTTGTTATGAGGACGGGTTGTTATGAGGACGGGTTGTTATGAGGACGTGTTGTTATGAGGACGGGTTGTTATGAGGATGTGTTGTTATGAGGACGGGTTGTTATGAGGACATGTTGTTATGAGGACGGGTTGTTATGAGGACGGGTTGTTATGAGGACGTGTTGTTATGAGGACGTTTTGTTATGAGGACGGGTTGTTATGAGGACGGGTTGTTATGAGGACGGGTTGTTATGAGGACGGGTTGTTATGAGGACGTGTTGTTATGAGGACGGGTGTTATGAGGACGTGTTGTTATGAGGACGGGTTGTTATGAGGACGGGTTGTTATGAGGACGTGTTGTTATGAGGACGGGTTGTTATGAGGATGTTTTGTTATGAGGACGGGTTGTTATGAGGACGGGTTGTTATGAGTGTTACGGACCCGAGTCCAGCGTCCGAGCACGGAGCGGTGGCGACAACGCCATCTGTGGGTCAGCTCCCGAAACCCCCTTCAAATGGACGACGCCATCTAGTGAGGACGGGATATACCGGCCACAGGGGCTGGATTCCCGTCTTAATCAGCTCGTGACATAGCCGCTGCTGCCCTCTGGTGAGGTGACGCTTAGACAGCAACGCCATCTATGGAATGGATAGGTGGGCGTTTGTGTCTAAGCCTGTAAGTGAGGTGCCCTAGGGTGTCCCTAGTACTGATGACGTGTCTGATTACAGAGTCGACCTGGGACTGCTGAATCCGACGGTGGGCAGTCTACCCAAGGCAGCCAAAGTCTCTCCATGTGTTTGCTGAAGAAGCTGTGAGTCACCCCGGACGAACACTGCTGAGAGTGGTAGCCTGCCTAGGACGTGGCAGAGTTGAGGAATCGTCGTACCCGGGGGTTGACTGGTGGAAGAGACTAGCCACTGTGGTGCTATATAGAGGAGAGTGATCAGTGGGATCACCCGAGGCTCCTGCCTAGGGCTCGCAACCCTAGTATCGGTCGTGGAGTGGCCTACGCAGCAGAGATGATTGGAACCTGCCAGCTACAGGCTGGATTTGTGGTTGAAGGCCTCCACGACGGTGCACCCAGTGGGACTGTGATTTGGCTGGCCTGTGGCCAGGGTAGATTCGTCTAGAGAATCGAAGGATTCATCGTGGGCCACAAAGAAGAGAACCAGGGCTACTCATCGTGAGCACTGTAGAGCATCCTGTGTCTTCAGAGGAAGACAAGTTAATGTACATAAGTGTAGTTATAGCCCCAGCGAGTGACTGTTTATATATTTATTTATTGGTGGTGGTGAATATATATATATATTTAAGTTTAGTGCCTTTGTATCCCTTCCCCTTTAATTTACTTGCGTTACGGAACACACCCCTCGAAAGCTTACTACTAACTTGGGGCCGGATACCCAAACTCTAATAACATCAGAGAAGAACCCCAGTTGCGACCCAATAGGGCCATAACAATGAGGACGTGTTGTTATGAGGACATGTTGTTATGAGGACGTGTTGTTATGAGGACGGATTGTTATGAGGACGGATTGTTATGAGGACGGATTGTTGTGAGGACGTGTTGTTATGAGGACGTGTTGTTATGAGGACGGGTTATCAGGAGTAGACACAACGATGGTGTGAGGGCAGTAGTGACAATGATGGTGTGAGGGCAGTAGACACAACGATAGTGTGAGGGCTGTAGTGACAACGATGGTACTCACCTAGTTGTGTTTGCGTGGGTTGAGCTCTGGCTCTTTGGTCCCGCCTCTCAACTGTCATTCAACTGGTGTACAGATTCCTGTGTGTCAGAGAATGGTCTCTCAAGATTCTCCCACAGCTGACTAAGAATGGCTCATTGCAGTGCACAGTGCACCGAACTTCGTGCACAAGGCCCTGTCTCTTAACCCTGGATAGTGACCTGGCATGTTGGGTATCTCCAGAATGCGCACTTAACCAGGAACACTTTCATTATACGGAGGCCGCCGTATGTCCAGGCAGGAAGTAGATACAGGGAAGTTAAGCATACTTGCCACAAAGGGTCAATGAGTACATTGGCCTTTGGGAACCGTGAGAGGGGAGAGGAGACGCTTCAACCGGCGGGATGGAGGTTCCTGAGGTTATCTTGAGATGATTTCGGGGCTTTTAGTGTCCCCGCGGCCCGGTCCTCGACCAGGCCTCCACCCCCAGGAAGCAGCCCGTGACAGCTGACTAACACCCAGGTATCTATTTTACTGGTAGGTAACAGGGGCATAGGGTGAAAGAAACTCTGCCCATTGTTTCTCGCCAGCGCCTGGGATTGAACCCAGGACCACAGGATCACAAGTCCCGCGTGCTGTCCGCTCGGCCGACCGGCTGGAGAATAACAGCTATGACGTGGTCGTGACGTGTTCATGACGTCACTCCTGCTGATCAGTCCAGAGTTTGCTTTCTCTGTCCTGCTGATAAGTCCAAAGTTTGCTTTCTCTGTCCTGCTGATCAGTCCAGAGTTTGCTTTCTCTGTCCTGCTGATCAGTCCAGAGTTTGCTTTCTCTGTCCTGCTGATCAGTCCAGAGTTTGCTTTCTCTGTCCTGCTGATCAGTCCAGAGTTTCATAGCTTGCTCTGCTACTTTATTCCCTTCGAATCCCAACTCCCTAACTTGGTTACGGTATTCCTCTAAGGTAAATAATTGCGAGCCTGTAATACCTACTCTTTGAGTTGGTGTCGTTCACAAGGACCTTTTGGGCCAAGATTCTTCCCCATAGAATCCCCCCCAACGAAGTATTTAAAGGGCTAGATTCCCGCGTGACTCCGTTTTCTTCCGCAGCGTGCGTGATTCTAGTGACATCATTCTCGGTGACGTCACCCACAGGGGTCTCTACCTCCAAGTTGTCTCTCACTGGGGTCTCTCCCACTCTCCCACGTGACGTCACCACCCTTACTCACCGCCAGTACCAAGAGTGTGTGCGTGTGTCTGTAGACATACAGTACGCCCTCCTGCGAGTACCCTCTGTGTCTACGAGCGAAACCAGCTGTCAGGCCACCTACGAGTTCTTGCATAAATGTGCATGAGTGAGTGAGTGAGTATGGAAAGGTACCTTATCTGTAAGTACAAGATCTTGTCATTGTTTTATTGTGTCTGTGTTGATCTGAGGTATCAACCACAGTTCTCACCTTCTCATACCTGTCACATGTTATAGGTGAATCGACGGTGAATGCGTGATTATCTGTGTGGTATCACGGCATTTCACTCGTCTGTGAATGTGAGCTTCACATACACCACACATTTAGTATTGTGTGATTATTATTGTGCATGTTATTGCCTGTCCCATTGACAGTGTATTTGTGATTTATTGTATATCATCATTACCCGAGTATCCGGTTGGAACTCTTGTGATCCCTTTGCACACAGGCAGTTAGGTTGTCGTGTTAATGACTGACTGTCAACTGTGTTGAGTTAGGTGTTTCTCCACGAGTGGATCCGAGTCGTTTAGCCAGACGTCAAGAGTCTCGCTAATCCAACCATTGCCTTTCTGACGCCAATCTAAAGTAAATCACGCACCCTTTGTATTAGTGGTTAAGTTAGTAAATAAACTACTGTTAAGCTTTATGCGGTGTTTCCGTTGAACCACTTCTGAATACTGCCAACTATTTACTCAAGCCTTCAGCTCCAGGTGTCTTCAACACCGAGTTGCCTATCATTCACTAAACTATAAATGTGATGAGGACCCTGGGAGTCCCTTAAAGTGTTAAATCATTGAGGAGATTCCAACGACCAACGTGGACCAGGACCAGGTGAGGCTAGTCTGAGAAGAGACCCTCAAGGACTCTAACTCGACATTGCTCCAAGGCCCTGTACGGTTGCTCTCGTATTTTCTATTCTGCTAATTCCGACAGTATCGTGAAGCGTCTGCCACATGTACATTGGCGACGTACGCATTGCAGTCGTGAAAGCAAAAAAAGAAAAACCCCACAGTGAGCCTACTGGTCTCTTATCATATCTACATTTGAAACTGTGTATGGAGTCAGCCTCCACCACAACACTGCTTAATGTATTCCATTTGTTAACTACTCTGACACTGAAAAAATTCTTTCTATCGTATCTGTGGCTCATCTGGGTACTAAGTTTCCACCTGTGTCCCCATATTCGTGTTCCACCTGCGCTAAAGAGTTTGTCTTTGTCCACCCTGTCAATTCCCCTGAGAATTTTGTAGGTGTTTATCATGTCTCCCCTTGCTCTTCTGTTTTCCAGGGTTGTGAGGTTCAGCTCCCTTGGCCTTTCCTCGTAACTCATTTCTCTCAGTAAACACAACGATGGTGTGAGGGCAGTAGTCAAAACGATTATTATTATTATCAACTTTATTGGCAAAAATGGGGTGACAATCAATATTTCAATGAACGAATATGTAAATAAAACTTTATATTGGTCACTGCCACAGACGGGCAGGAATGGATTCGTAAGAGATGCAGTTTAACAATAATATAAATAAAATTGTTTTTCATTCTTTAAAATCCAGGATAAATTGTTAGTATGTCGTCCAGTACTCCTGAGTCAATGATATAGTTACACAGTTGGTGGTACAATAGGTCAGGAGGTCTAAAATCTTTGACGGTTTCACATTCAACAATATAATGTTGTTGATGGTGTGAGGGCAGTAGTGAGTAGTGAGGAAGTAGGGCAATAGACATAAAATATTGACCGTCAAGGATCTCTACAATACATTGGAGAAGAGAGAGACTTGTGAATACTTTTGTCTCAGCTGGTATAAGGTTGGTATCAGGGCACTGTGTATCAGGTATAAGTTTTGAACTTCAGAGCATTTATTGTGTGTATTACGGTATAAGGATCAGTACTAACGGTATATATATATGGTGAACTTGTAGATACAAAGAGTATAAGGGTGAAGATAGTATCAGGGTATAAGGGGCGCCCTTCTACTCTTGCCTCCGCGTCTCCTGATAGTTCTGTGGTACTCCTGGCGGCGTCGGTCAAATTCCTTGTGGCAGGCCTATTGGAGGAGACCAGAAGAGTTATATATTATATTCCTTCTACTGATGCTACTACTACTACCACAACTACTACCACTACCACTAACACTGCTACCAATACTTCTACCACAAATATGACTAATGATAATAATAAGAAAATGAGTAAGATCAATGAGGAGGATTCAAACTTGGCCCCAGAGCCCTCCCATGCTAACTCTGGAAGAGCCAGAGAGCACAGGGGGGGGGGGGGGGCGGGTGCCGCAGGGAGTGAACACCCTTTTTTTTGGAGTAAAGAAGAAGGAGAGGCATAGGTGAAGGGAAGTTTAGAAGTGGGAAATACAGTGAGAGGTATGAAACAGGCGGGCTGTCCGCCTTGCTGACACCGTTACGCGTCAGTGGACGTCTCAGGAACCCTAGAGAATTCAGTGGAATCCCAGGTTGCAATGCTCTTGACCATGTCACGATGCTGTTATGGGTGGGTGTTGACACCCAGCCATAACATTAGCCACCCTGGGTGTTGACACCCGGTCATAACATTAGCCACCCTGTGTGTTGACACCCAGCCATGACATTAGCCACCCTGGGTGTTGACACCCAGCCATGACATTAGCCACCCTGGGTGTTGACACCCACCCATGACATTAGCCACCCTGGGTGTTGACACCCACCCATAACATTAGCCACCCTGGGTGTTGACACCCACCCATAACATTAGCCACCCTGGGTGTTGACACCCACCCATAACATTAGCCACCCTGGGTGTTGACACCCAGCCATGACATTAGCCACCCTGGGTGTTGACACCCACCCATAACATTAGCCACCCTGGGTGTTGACACCCACCATAACATTAGCCACCCTGGGTGTTGACACCCACCATAACATTAGCCACCCTGGGTGTTGACACCCACCATAACATTAGCCACCCTGGGTGTTGACACCCACCATAACATTAGCCACCCTGGGTGTTGACACCCACCATAACATTAGCCACCCTGGGTGTTGACACCCACCCATAACATTAGCCACCCTGGGTGTTGACACCCACCCATAACATTAGCCACCCTGCGTGTTGACACCCAGCCATGACATTAGCCACCCTGGGTGTTGACACCCACCCATAACATTAGCCACCCAGGGTGTTGACACCCACCCATGACATTAGCCACCCTGGGTGTTGACACCCACCCATAACATTAGCCACCCAGGGTGTTGACACCCACCCATGACATTAGCCACCCAGGGTGTTGACACCCAGCCATGACATTAGCCACCCTGGGTGTTGACACCCACCCATGACATTAGCCACCCTGGGTGTTGACACCCACCCATAACATTAGCCACCCTGGGTGTTGACACCCAGCCATGACATTAGCCACCCTGGGTGTTGACACCCAGCCATCACATTAGCCACCCTGGGTGTTGACATCCACCCATAACATTAGCCACCCTGGGAGTTGACACCCACCCATAACATTAGCCATCTTGGGTGTTGACACCCACCCATAACATTAGCCACCCTGGGTGTTGACACCCACCCATAACATTAGCCACCCTGGGTGTTGACACCCACCCATAACATTAGCCATCTTGGGTGTTGACACCCACCCATAACATTAGCCATCTTGGGTGTTGACACCCACCCATAACATTAGCCATCTTGGGTGTTGACACCCACCCATAACATTAGCCACCCTGGGTGTTGACACCCACCCATAACATTAGCCACCCTGGGTGTAGAGACCCACCCATAACATTAGCCATCTTGGGTGTTGACACCCACCCATAACATTAGCTATCTTGGGTGTTGACACCCACCCATAACATTAGCCATCTTGGGTGTTGACACCCACCCATAACATTAGCCATCTTGGGTGTTGACACCCACCCATAACATTAGCCATCTTGGGTGTTGACACCCACCCATAACATTAGCCACCCTGGGTGTTGACACCCACCCATAACATTAGCCACCCTGGGTGTTGACACCCACCCATAACATTAGCCATCTTGGGTGTTGACACCCACCTATAACATTAGCCATCTTGGGTGTTGACACCCACCCATAACATTAGCCATCTTGGGTGTTGACACCCACCCATAACATTAGCCATCTTGGGTGTTGACACCCACCCATAACATTAGCCATCTTGGGTGTTGACACCCACCCATAACATTAGCCATCTTGGGTGTTGACACCCACCCATAACATTAGCCGCCCTGGGTGTTGACACCCACCCTTAACATTAGCCATATTGGGTGTTGACACCCACCCATAACATTAGCCATCTTGGGTGTTGACACCCACCCATAACATTAGCCACCCTGGGTGTTGACACCCACCCATAACATTAGCCATATTGGGTGTTGACACCCACCCATAACATTAGCCACCCTGCGTGTTGACCCCCAGCCATGACATTAGCCACCCTGGGTGTTGACACCCACCCATAACATTAGCCACCCAGGGTGTTGACACCCACCCATGACATTAGCCACCCTGGGTGTTGACACCCACCCATAACATTAGCCACCCAGGGTGTTGACACCCACCCATGACATTAGCCACCCAGGGTGTTGACACCCAGCCATGACATTAGCCACCCTGGGTGTTGACACCCACCCATGACATTAGCCACCCTGGGTGATGACACCCACCCATAACATTAGCCACCCTGGGTGTTGACACCCAGCCATGACATTAGCCACCCTGGGTGTTGACACCCAGCCATGACATTAGCCACCCTGGGTGTTGACACCCAGCCATCACATTAGCCACCCTGGGTGTTGACACCCACCCATAACATTAGCCACCCTGGGAGTTGACACCCACCCATAACATTAGCCATCTTGGGTGTTGACACCCACCCATAACATTAGCCACCCTGGGTGTTGACACCCACCCATAACATTAGCCACCCTGGGTGTTGACACCCACCCATAACATTAGCCATCTTGGGTGTTGACACCCACCCATAACATTAGCCATCTTGGGTGTTGACACCCACCCATAACATTAGCCATCTTGGGTGTTGACACCCACCCATAACATTAGCCACCCTGGGTGTAGAGACCCACACATAACATTAGCCATCTTGGGTGTTGACACCCACCCATAACATTAGCTATCTTGGGTGTTGACACCCACCCATAACATTAGCCATCTTGGGTGTTGACACCCACCCATAACATTAGCCATCTTGGGTGTTGACACCCACCCATAACATTAGCCATCTTGGGTGTTGACACCCACCCATAACATTAGCCACCCTGGGTGTTGACACCCACCCATAACATTAGCCACCCTGGGTGTTGACACCCACCCATAACATTAGCCATCTTGGGTGTTGACACCCACCTATAACATTAGCCATCTTGGGTGTTGACACCCACCCATAACATTAGCCATCTTGGGTGTTGACACCCACCCATAACATTAGCCATCTTGGGTGTTGACACCCACCCATAACATTAGCCATCTTGGGTGTTGACACCCACCCATAACATTAGCCATCTTGGGTGTTGACACCCACCCATAACATTAGCCACCCTGGGTGTTGACACCCACCCATAACATTAGCCATATTGGGTGTTGACACCCACCCATAACATTAGCCATCTTGGGTGTTGACACCCACCCATAACATTAGCCACCCTGGGTGTTGACACCCACCCATAACATTAGCCACCCTGGGTGTTGACACCCACCCATAACATTAGCCATCTTGGGTGTTGACACCCACCTATAACATTAGCCATCTTGGGTGTTGACACCCACCCATAACATTTGCCACCCTGGGTGTTGACACCCACCCATAACATTAGCCACCCTGGGTGTTGACACCCAGCCATAACATTAGCCACCCTGGGTGTTGACACCCGGTCATAACATTAGCCACCCTGGGTGTTGACACCCAGCCATGACATTAGCCACCCTGGGTGTTGACACCCAGCTATGACATTAGCCACCCTGGGTGTTGACACCCACCCATGACATTAGCCACCCTGGGTGTTGACACCCACCCATAACATTAGCCACCCTAGGTGTTGACACCCACCCATAACATTTGCCACCCTGGGTGTTGACACCCACCCATAACATTAGCCACCCTGGGTGTTGACACCCAGCCATAACATTAGCCACCCTGGGTGTTGACACCCGGTCATAACATTAGCCACCCTGGGTGTTGACACCCAGCCATGACATTAGCCACCCTGGGTGTTGACACCCAGCTATGACATTAGCCACCCTGGGTGTTGACACCCACCCATGACATTAGCCACCCTGGGTGTTGACACCCACCCATAACATTAGCCACCCTGGGTGTTGACACCCACCCATAACATTAGCCACCCTGGGTGTTGACACCCGGTCATAACATTAGCCACCCTGGGTGTTGACACCCAGCCATGACATTAGCCACCCTGGGTGTTGACACCCAGCTATGACATTAGCCACCCTGGGTGTTGACACCCACCCATGACATTAGCCACCCTGGGTGTTGACACCCACCCATAACATTAGCCACCCTGGGTGTTGACACCCACCCATAACATTAGCCACCCTGGGTGTTGACACCCAGCCATGACATTAGCCACCCTGGGTGTTGACACCCACCCATAACATTAGCCACCCTGGGTGTTGACACCCACCATAACATTAGCCACCCTGGGTGTTGACACCCACCATAACATTAGCCACCCTGGGTGTTGACACCCACCATAACATTAGCCACCCTGGGTGTTGACACCCACCATAACATTAGCCACCCTGGGTGTTGACACCCACCATAACATTAGCCACCCTGGGTGTTGACACCCACCCATAACATTAGCCACCCTGCGTGTTGACACCCAGCCATGACATTAGCCACCCTGGGTGTTGGCACCCACCCATAACATTAGCCACCCAGGGTGTTGACACCCACCCATGACATTAGCCACCCTGGGTGTTGACACCCACCCATAACATTAGCCACCCAGAGTGTTGACACCCACCCATGACATTAGCCACCCAGGG